TATAGATAAAACTTTTTCTACTGTTTAAAAATTGACTTTTTTCTACTCTATATAGGTCTTTATGATGAATATTCCCATTTTTTGTCAATGCTCAACATTTTTTGTCAACGCTCTTTTGTCTACGTTCACACAATTTTAAATACAACTTTTTTGCTGTATAAGAATATTATCCACGTGTTTACACGTGTTTAAAATTCGAGTTTTTTTTTTTCTATTGTAAGCGTACCACTGATCTCAAAATAATTATTTTGAGATCAGTGAAGCGTACACGTGATATATTAAATTTTTTAAACTATGAATGTGCGGCAAAATGATGAGCAATTGGAAGAAGCTAAAAAGAATTTAACTTAGTGATCTTTTGAAAAAGTTACTGGAATCTGAAGAACTTCGTGTAAATATGATAACAGCTGTTTCTTTTTCAGTTTGTGATGATATAAAAAGAGATGGTATCATATGTGTCCGCCTGCAATCTAAAAGAATATGCTAACATTTAACACCAATTCCCATTATAACAATATTTTACAATTATGGTACTATGGATGTTAATTTATTTTGCTATGTATGTTATAAATGAAACTGTTCAATTTTAAACCTCTTTTAAAATGTCATATTAATAGTCTAGGAAAAAATGTATCGAAAAGAAAAAATACTACAAATTATTACTTAAAATAAAATACGTCAAATATGTCAAATTCTGAAACTATGCCTGATTTGGCCAAAAATTGCTGTAGGTGGTAATTCTTGTCCAATTTTGCTAATCCAAGTCTCATTTATTTTTCTTATAACTAATATTATAATCAATAAAGAAGTATAATATAGAAATCAGGGAGACAAATAAATTTTTAAAAAAAGTTATTTTTACTCCACCTTAGTTTACACTCTAACAGATGAATGAATTTCTTTTTGATGAATTGTTTTATTTAGATTTCACCATACCTATAATGCAAAAGTGTAATTAATTGTTTTATTTAGATTTCACCATACCTATGATGCAAAATATAAAAAAGTATAAATACACAGATACAAAAGTATAAAAACACTTTAAAACATCTCAGAGTTGAGTATGTTCTATTATAAGAATATAATATAAGAATATAATTCAGTATAGCAAAGTTTATATTTTTCAATTCAGCGTTTAAATATTCACTTTGCTCTAACAACCTCCATATTAGTGGACGGGCTAGTATATTACAAAAATGAGTAATTTTAAGCATTTTCATATAAATCAAGGTCTGTGTTTTTATTCTTTCCAATCAAAAAACATTGTCTGCAATATTAAGATCATACTTTACAATCCAAAACATTTTCTGTCATTATAGAGATTGCAGTGTGAGCACCATTGTATAAGGAAAAACCTCGACGTTGCCAAGTCATCACAAGAAATACGAGTTTATACTAAATTAGGTTCATCAGCAGTATGTTGAGATGATTTAATCATTTTAAGTGCAGTGTCTAATATAATTTCTATTGCAATTGCTTCAACTTCAGTAGCAATTTTACGAACAATTTTATTGTAAGTGTTTTTAGTCACTGGTGGTGGAAGATCTATAAGATTACAGAATCTTTTCAAGCCAGTATGGTCCTGTCCACATAACCGCATTGCATAAATAGACCTTTTGTTAATATTAAAAGCTTCTTTCATAACCACAATTCTTAGATATATAAAATTCATAGTTATATTCACATTGACAGAATAAAATCAATAAGCTTGAAAGTCCTTTTTGTGTGTGTCTTCAGCTAAATTAAGTCTACAAGTTTTGCACTCTGGACAACATAAAAACTCAACAATAAAAGATAACACAGTACTATCGATTTCCTTGTATCTACATAAAATTTTTTGTTATATTTTTTTTCCAGAAGTATTATTAGGGTATACCTTGCATTTATTGAGTTTTGTGAAATTGTGAAAAAAAGACTAATATATGTGATATATGTGTTTTAATATGATGTAGTATATGTGTTTTGTGAAAAAAAGACTAATATATGCTGAGTTTGTGTGAATAAAAATATATCGATTTCCGTGAAATTTTATTTTCTTTCTGTATTGAGTAACAAATTTCACACGTTCTTTATCCATTAAAAGTATTAGGTTTAAAAGATTTAAACATAGTTACAGGTAAACAGATAAATACAATTTTAAGATGAATACTTGTTTTTAAGAAATTCTTGAAAGTAAATTATGAGAAATTAAGTTATTGTTTTTAATCTTACAGAAGTTTCGATTAATGGAAAATAGAAACAAATAACAAACTTATATTTCCAAGAAAAAACGATAACTTAGGAAACATATTTGGATCATGATGAAACTCGGCTAGACTTTAATCGGTTATCGGATCCGGGTATTTATCTTTGGAGCCTAATTCCGGGTACTCGGACCCAAAAAACCCTACATGGATATAAATATGTGCATATGTAGAAGAATAAGGAATAGTAGAAATGGTAACTGATAAGGTTTAATTTTTATTATAAAAATTTTGTGATGATGTGTTTTTTTGCATACAAATAAAAACATAAATATCTTCCTTTTTATTAGCATATGCATTTTTAATTTTCTTCAAATAAATTTGTTTACAACTAAAAGTTGTAAATCACTTTTAGCTCAACAAAAATCTATATGTAATCAATGAGATTTAGCATTGTTAGTGATTACTGATTTTTACATATTTTAAATTCTAGTTGTCGAATTGATTGTTCCACATGGATCCGTGATCTACCAATTTCTTTGGCTAAGTCGAATTTAGCTTGTGTAAAATGTTGTCTTCTTTTAAAAAAAGATGAACGAACCAATACCAATTTATTTTTCAAAAGCTTGAATATTGGAACTTTTATAAGCCTAACAAATAGATCCTTCAGAAAACTTACTAATAACATTGCAGTCCTCTGTAATGTGTCTATCTCATGATGGCTATCTCATGATGGTTATCTCATATGTCTATCTTATAATGGCTTGCCCATCATATTTGGATATCTTCTATTGTTGTTGTAGTTTTGAACAAAGTAATCATCACTGCCGCCCATAACTGCCGCCCATCACTGTCGCTAATGTCTAATTTATTTGTTTTATTTACTTTGATTTTCTTTTCTTATTTTATTTTCTTTGTTAAGAAATATGTTTTGATTTGTTTGCGTCTTAGTTATCCTGGTAGAATAAACTAAAAAATCATTAAGGACACCAGATAAAGGACATATATAAATTCCCAGACATAACTATTCTTCGGAGCATGAAGACATAGCAACATAAAATAGGCGTGTGAAATTGGTTTGTAACCAATACAACACGCATAAGTTAGGCTTCAAAATAACAGTTTTTTCATTTTAATAATATCTATATTATGAACTTTTTTACTAAATTGAGTTTTTTAAAGAGTATTGTTAAAAAAATCTCAAGTCTAAATTGCAATGAAACATATGTCGCATTTCAAAAAAGGAACTTTTTTTTTTTACCCCTTTTATAAGATGCAACTTTTTAAAAACTTTTGCTGATAAAGCAGGGCCGATGACACGGGTTTCAAAGTCTTCAACTTTTTAAAAAAAGTCCTCTATATCTAAAATGTTCTTTAAAAGTAAAAAATATTTTTTTAGAAAAAAAGTAGAGGGAGGGGCACGTGTCTTCCCTCCCGATGGCGTTGGCTCTGTAAATTAACCTATAAGTAGAACTCATATCATCAATAAAGCGTTTAGTTAAATATGAAGAGTATAATATTAATAAAGTTACAAAATGTCAAAACATCCTCAAAGAAGATTAGGCTTCTTCTTTTATTCTGAACTTTGCTTAAAAGTGATAAAGGGGTCTGATAAGTAGACCAATCTTATCATTGCATCGTCATTTGTAAGTTTCTGAGAAAATTTTCTTGTAACCTGATATCAAAAGACATCTTTATTTCTGCTCTCCTGAGTTTTTTTTAGATAAAAGACCTTTTTTGATGTAGCTTATTATAAATAATCCAACCCACTAGCGACTATTATAAATAATCTACTAGCCACGGCACAGTTCATGTTTCTTAATTGAGGAACAAGTTTAGTTGCTCTGCGTTAAATTTACTCTATATCATTCTTTGAAAATATTTTTTTAAATAGATGGCTCGTTGTTCCATCTTACGGTTTAAGCAGATGTTGCTGCATATTAGTAAAAAATATTCTAATAAAATTGGTAATTAAACTTAATAGTCATTGATTATTATTTTATTATAGGATAATTATATGTATAATTATTTAAATAAAAAAAATTATATATTTTATTATTAATATTCATTTATGCTGGTAATTAATAGAAATGACTGCTGGTCATTAACAGCAGGTAGTTTGCAACTACTTGAAAAAAAATTAAACAATAAAAAAATAATGTCTAATAGAGACTAATATTATTATTATTATTTTAATGATAATTAAAAAAATACTATTAAGCATTCCTTCTTGTAAAGTGCTTATAGTTTTCTGTCTTTTGCAATAGCAAAAATCTCCTTTTAAAAAACGCCCTTAGGGATAGTAACACAAAAAATATTAACCTCCATATTATTATTATATAGAAGATCAATATAAATAAGGTTTAAAAATGTTTGCATATTATTGTTTTGTTATTTACATTAATCATTTTATGGCAAATCAATATTTACCCATGAGTTAGTCTATTTTAATATGCGAAATTTTATTTGTAAACTTCAGCTTTGTTCGTTCTCGTTTCACTATACCTCTGCCTAATTGTGTAAGAATATAATCATAGATTATGTTTCAATAGGAATCGATAATGTATTTATTTTAGGCTGTAGTATGTGAGACAAGTTTTTAGCCTAATTTAATAGACAGATTCTAAATGGAATATAGGGCAAATAATACATTTTCCCCATCCGACACAATACTTAATAGTTATACGATCCGGACTGGTATTATACCCGGAGTACCATTTAATGAGCCTATAAAAGAGTTTTAATTAGAAAAACGTCATTGTCTAATTTCAAATGAAAAGTGGCCGGGTATAGTGAACCGGCCGCAGATTTAACATTTTTCACTTTTTGCTTTAGAGTAATTCACCATTTTAAGCATAGGCGGCTCGTCCATTTTTCTACTTCTAAAAGCTAAAAGTTGTTGAAATTTAATATAAAACACATTTAGCTGCTTTTTGTGGCTTTTATTATGACGGAAGTTGAAAAATTTAATGTCGATAATGTTATAGCACAACTTTTAGAAGGTGAATACATAACACTTATTAGGATTTTTTTTTATTACTATTTTGTCTTGTAATCCACCATGCGTTATACAGGTACATTCAAGAATATAAAGTAATACAGTTTATAATTTTGTTAAATTTTTGGCTTTTTTTAAAATACAAATTCATTGCTATTTCTTTATTTATTTCAACTAAAATATTTAGCGACAGTTTTTTACACAACTACTCTTCTAAAAACAGAACAACATACAAAACTTACTTGTTATCTAAACCTAATAAGAGTTGCTATTTATATAATTTGAATTATTAGACTGTTTTGAAACAAAAATACACAAAAGAATACATACATACATTCATACATACATACATACATACATACATACATACATACATACATACATACATACATACATACATACATACATACATACATACATACATACATACATACATACATACATACATACATACATACATACATACATACATACATACATACATACATACATATATATATATATATATATATATATATATATATATATATATATATATATATATATATATATATATATATATATATATATATATATATATATATATAAACAGTCAATTAAGTTAAAATACTATTAAATAGCCTTTAAAATAGTCGCTATAAGTATTAAATTTTATTAATCTTAAAATAAATTTTAAACATTTACAAATGGAAATTTAAATGCAAATAAATTAGATAGAATTTTCTAAAAATTGAAAACATTTTAGTATTTTTTTAAACTAACAAAAGTTTTCAAGTTTGAAATTGTTAGATAAAGAAACTTATGTTAATGTTACTAATTTTTATTTATTCCATTTAGCAAGACTTTTTTTATAGATATAGTTTTGGATAATTTTGTTTTTTTACATTTTGTTCGAAATGAATTATTCTACTTTGAAATATCTTTTTTTATATATTTTTTATATAAAATTCTTTTTTTATATATTTGTTGTACAATCATTTAAAAATTATGTTTCATAATTTTAGTTAGAGGTTCTCGACCTGGAAAAACAGTTCAGCTGACTGAGTCAGAAATTAGAGGATTGTGTCTAAAGTCTAGGGAAATCTTTTTAAGCCAGCCTATTTTACTCGAATTAGAAGCTCCTCTAAAGATTTGTGGTAAGATTTTATAATTGGTTTTTTAAAATAAAATGTTTATTAAATGATACAAAACATAATTAAAAATAAATAGTTTTAATATTTAAAAAATTTCAAATCATTTTAATTAAAATGATACAAATCACATTGTATGTATAATAATTGTATGCATAAATAAATCCCTTAGTTTAATAAATCCTTTAGTATATATATATATATATATATATATATATATATATATATATATATATATATATATATATATATATATATATATATATATATATATATATCATGGATGTGTCCATGTCAATTTTAATACCGGTATACATGTTTGGGTGTACAAACTCCTGTACTTAATAATAGATTTAATTTTTACATAAGTGTGTGTGTGTATGTATATATATATATATATATATATATATATATATATATATATATATATATATATATATATATATATATATATATATATATATATATATATATATATATATATATAGACCTCAGTGAAAAAACTGACGTGGTCATATTTAAAATGTTTTGAGAAAATATTTATTGATCATTAATAAAAGTCTTTATATAAAGCTACAAAAAATTTCAAAAATTGTTTTTTCATTGGTTCACAGAACATGTCATAGAACATCAAAATCTAATATAGCATTTATGGTTATAGTTTGAACATAGTTTCATGGTAGCTCAAATATTATAGTAGCCATTTTCATTTTTGCATAAGACATTAAAAATGAGATTAAGTAATTTTTATGATCAGATGCCTTTCCTAGCATTATCCTGTGTCACTGTCAGTATTGAATAATTTTAAAAATATCAATAATAGTTTAAAACAAATTTGTAAAGCAAAATTATTTTAAATGATTAAGAATCTAGTTTTCTTTTAATTTTTATGATCATTTTGTCTAGAATTTTCTTTCAAAACAATACAATACTGTAATATATAGTGTATATTGGATAAAATTGCTATGTTAAATGTAATATTTTATACACTGCTGTGTTGAACTACAGTATTTAAATTTTTAAAATTGTTTTATTAGTTTTTTTTAGATTTTTTTTTTTTTTTTTTTTTTTTAATAAAATAATTTATTGATTGAAATAAAAACCTTTGATTTTTTGTTAATTTTTGTCTTTCAATTTTGTTTTATATATATATATATATATATATATATATATATATATATATATATATATATATATATATATATATATATATATATATATATATATACCCATAAATATTTATGTATGTAAAAGTTTGTTGCTAGAATTATTGAACTAAAAACAGTTCTATGAGTTGTTCTATTTAAATTTTGTATTCATAAATGATTTATATGGCTTGAATAAAACATTCTTTTCAATGGGAATTGTTTAAATAAATTAATTATATATTTTAATGGAAAAAATTTATTGTGGTTGTGATAAATGATTTATTATATCTCAAAAAATATATCTCTTTCTCTTCTTTATATTTTTACTTTATAATCTTTTTACACAAATGTAACTATTTTAGGTGACATACATGGCCAGTATTATGACTTGCTGCGATTATTTGAATATGGTGGTTTTCCTCCTGAATCAAATTATCTTTTTCTCGGTGATTATGTTGATAGAGGAAAACAATCACTTGAAACAATATGTTTGTTATTAGCTTACAAAATAAAGTACCCTGAAAATTTTTTTCTGTTGCGTGGCAACCATGAATGTGCCAGTATCAATAGAATATATGGATTTTATGATGAATGTAAGTTTTTATTTAAATGCTGCATAAGCACAAATTTGATTTATGCATTGTTATAGGCAGTTGTCAAAATAAGATTTTAGATTTCATTTTTTGTGTTAAAAAATATATATATATATAATTTTTTTTTCCATCCTGAATGTATTAACTCTTGAAATACTAAAAAGTTGTTCTTTAAGAAGTTTTAGCTTTTCACAAGTTTTTTCGATTAAAAAAAAATATTAAGATTTTAATGATCATGAATAATTTAACTTGAAATAAATTTAGAAAACCCTCTGCCAATTAAATTTGTTTATTTTAACTAGCAATAAAATATACTTATCATGTTTATAAATATATTTCTTTTTATTTATAGTTTATAAAGTTTTTTGTGAGTTAAAATGTGTGTCTGGTTAAAGGACTTTTTTTTTGTTGTTGTAGTTGTTGAAAAAAGATAACTATTAAAATCATTGATTGGTTTCAAATTTGATTTAATAGTTTTTTGTTGTACACATAAAATAAATTTTTTTTTTTTTTTTTTTTTTCCAAATTTTTTATTGCATTAATAAACAATTTTTTTTGTTTGACCATTTTTGCTTTTCACAAACATTTTATCAAATAATTTTAAATTTATTTCTTTTCTTTTGAGTATCAATGTACATTTTAAATAAGTTATATGTTTAAACAAGTTAGATTTGATAACAAGATCAAATCGATAAAAAAATTATTGTATATTAAATAAGCTTTTTGAACACCTTTTCAAAAGTTAAAAAGTCAGCTTTCTTTATATTGTCGCTTTGATTTTTCATGCTTTCACTAATGAATTTTTTTTATTATTAATAAAAAGTAGTATCAATAGTATTACTTTAAAAACAGTGTGTGCAAGAGAAATTTTTACAAAATATAAAAGTATTAAAAAATCTTTTTGACATAACTTTTAAAATGCTAATTTCAATTTTTTTTACATCCATGCTGATAAATTTACTAATATTGTTATTATTTAAACTCAAATTGTAAATAAAATATGTTTAAAATAAAATTGGTGATTTATAATTTTAAAAATACTAACATTATTATTTTAAAATTGTTATTTAATCAAAGGATTGCTAATCTTGAACTAAACAATCATGCTTAACATTTTTAACAATGTAAATGTTTTAATGTTTGCAAGTAAAGTAATTTGGCAATTAAAATAGTATATGAAATTTATATACAAATCTTTTTGATTGTACAGGACCAATAATAATCGTAAAATTTTTTGTTTATCTATTTGTTACCTTTAATTTGTTAAGTTATGAAATTATGTAAGATTGCTCTTGTAAATGTTTTAATAATTTTAAGTTATCTTTTTAATCCAAGAAAAGTTTTAAATTGAGTGTGTGTACCTGTGACAAATAGTTTGTATGGGTTTTACTATTCCATTGTGATTTAATACTTTTTTATTTTACTATTTCATGTAGATATATTTTAAAATACTTTTACAAAGATGTTACTTTTACAATGATGGTATTATTTAAATGTCTTAAAACCTGATTATTATTTTTTTTCTTTTCAATATTGAGGTAAAAGAAGATACAATATTAAGTTATGGAAAACATTTACTGATTGCTTTAATTGCTTACCTGTTGCTGCAATATTGGATGAAAAAATATTTTGTTGTCATGGTGGTGCGTAATATTTTATAAATATTTATCTTATAAAAATACTCTTTTATATTTTAAAGTTTAATTTTGCATTTGAATTGAATTCGAATTTTATTGAATTTGCTTCTGCAGGTTTATCCCCTGACCTCCAATCAATGGAACAGATTCGAAGAATTATGCGACCAACTGATGTTCCAGACCAAGGCAAGTTATTTGTTGAAGCTCAGTAACTAAAAAATTTATAGACTTCAAAAACAAAATTGCTGACACTTTTAGATTAGTAGCCAAGTTAACATTGCTGAATCCTGAACTTATTTTCGAATGCTGCATGCTTATGCATCCTAAAAATTCTGATTTTATTTATTATGCTGTTAATACTTCATAAAAATCCTTTTCTCTTTTTTCTAGTTCAGTAGTTAAACCCCTTCTTTTTTTTATGAGGTCTGCTTTAGTGGTAAAAGTTCAAGACTTCAAGTTAGAAAAAAGGACGCTATAGTAGCAGTGCTTTTTTTTATCCCTTAATTTCAGCAAGGCTTTCAATTTCAGCTAGGGAGCTAAAGATTTTTTTATAATTATTTTTTTCACTAGGATTATTATGTGATCTTTTATGGTCTGATCCCGATAAGGAAGTAACTGGTTGGGGTGAGAATGACAGAGGAGTATCATATACATTTGGACCAGATGTTGTTGCTAAGTTTCTTCATAAGCATGATTTTGACTTGATTTGTCGTGCTCATCAAGTAGTTGAAGATGGTTATGAGTTTTATGCAAAGAGACAATTAGTAACTTTATTTTCTGCTCCAAATTATTGTGGAGAGTTTGACAACGCAGGTTCAATGATGAGTGTTGATGAGACTCTTATGTGTTCATTTCAGGTTACACTTTTTTCTTTGCTTTTTTTATGTCCTATTTTATAAAGTATTTATAAAGTACTTGAGTGTTTTATTCTTCTGGTATTAATACTATTAATTATATATATATATATATATATATATATATATATATATATATATATATATATATATATATATATATATATATATATATATATATATATATATATATATATATATATACTATTAATTTAAGCAAATTCTTCATTTAAGCAAACAAACACATGACATGCATGTTGCAATACGCATTTTTTTTTATAAAGTATATGATATTTTTAATATAATTTATGTTTTACATAAATACCACCAGCGTAGATTAAAAACAATATTTTACAACAAGCGATCTACTTAAAAGATTATATTAAGATAATTATAAAAATAATGCATATGAAACTTTTTTTTGCCATACATAAAAAAGTTTGTTTTGCAATGACTTCCCAATACAGTCTGTTTTTTAAATATATTTTTTATCAAAATACATATTTAAAATGTTGAGTGAGACTAAATATTAGGCTTATTTTTTAACACTTTTTTTTTTTAGCAAAATGTACTTTCATTAATTTAATTGTAGGGATTGGTTGAATAGCTTGGGGGAGTAGATTTAGTGATAAAAATTCATCGATTGTGTTGTAGTTATAGGAATAGGTGAAGATATGTTTGAGCTAGCGCAGGTTGGGGATATGGTCATTAGATTGGTCTGGGGTGGAGGTGGTAATTTTCTTTTTTATACTTTTTAAGATTTAGTTCTTGCGCAATCATTATTTTTAAACACATTTTTATATCCTGTTTACACTAGAGAACTGGAAAACAAGTTTACCGCGTAGTGTTTACTGTATTTTGTTTTTTATTGTACAGTATTTTTTTATTTTTTTTCCTGCTGTTTTTCCATCAAAAAATAAATCATTAAATACTTAAAACCAGTATTCCAAGACAGGACAGGGTGACCTTTGAAAGTGTAGAAAAATATATAGCAATGATAAGCAGTACTCAGAATCATCCTATTATGTTTTTGTTTTTTTTTAAATAATACTTTTATTATGTTAATGAACAACATTTCATGTAGCCAGGTGTAATTTTTTAATTACACCTGGCTACATGAAATGTTATTCATTAACATAATTTCATTAAACAAATTTGGGGAGCTGTGCAAGCTGCTTCTTATTTAAATCAGCGCTCTTTTTTAATTCTAATTTTTTATTGCAACTACTGTGCCTTTTAAAAAGCACTTCAGTATATTATGCAGTATAATATAAAAGTATAATTATTATTTTATTTAAAATGATAGTTATACTTTTATGAGAAAAGTTATACTTTTGCGAGAGCCGTAAATAGCTCTCGTAAACAGTTTTAGGGGAGTGTGGGCGAGAGCTAAATCACTCGTTTCCCACCGAGGCCTATATATATATATATATATATATATATATATATATATATATATATATATATATATATATATATATATATATATATATATATATATATCAGGGCGTAAACTAGCCATGTGGTTCCCCATCAACCACGGTATTTCCAAATATTCATAAAATTAAAATTCCCAATTTAAAAGTGAAAAAATCTCTTTCTCTAAATAAAGCTTAATAATGATTCTAAAAATTATTGAAAATTAATTACTATTAAAAACTAATAGGAAAATAACTTAAGAAATGATAATTTAATGTTTAAAACTTGAAATAAAGTTGCTGTTATTGGTATAGCTATGTGCTTGCATAACTGCAAAAATGTCTCTTAAAAAAAGAAATTTTAAGAATTGGGATTTTCCGAAAATCCCAAAAATCGCTCTGGAAAAAAATTTATTTTTCAAAATTTGCAAATAATTTTTTTTGCAAAAAAATTTAGCAAGAAATAAAGTAGAATTTAAAAGATTACAAATTAGTTTGGTTTAACCAAGGAGTTGTAATAGACTAAAGGGAGAACGAAGTTAAAATACGTCATTTGCCAAGAAACGATCTGAGTTGTAACATAATTTTCTATTAAACACCACATAATTATCATATTTTAAAGTTAACCAATAACATTTCACCTTTAACAAAAATCATCCAATGATATTGTTTCAAAACGTCATAAGCAATTGAAGCATTGCAAATAAAAAATGGATGTTTAAAAAATTTGTAAACAATATGTAAAGTTTTTTTTATGTGGTGCTTTTTGAAGGGCCAATAAAAAATTTCTAGATTAGAATGGAATTAATGTCTAGATAAGAATCGTTAGTATTTTTGCTGGATTTACAAGAAGGTATTTTAATCTCTATATTTAGAATATAGCAATATGTTTTTAAATCCAGCTAAATTATTCCAACACAAAATAAAATATAGGCATAATAAGTGCCTGGCCAAAAGAGCATTCTAAAAGAATGTAGCATGCCTAGAACTGAACAGGCAAGCAAAATATAAGATTCAAACAGTTAGTAAAGATTGTTTAAAACTTTGATAGTTATACTCACAATTGAGGTGTGCAAGAAACAATTACATCGCCTTAATCGTAATTTTTGCTGTAATTAACTTCTTAATTGATCGATTAGTTTTTAAAAACCTATTCAATAAACTTTTAAAGGATCCATTTCGATTACACCTTTCAAAGCTTACAAATAATATTTCAAATCTATTTTTTTGCCATAGCGCCAAACAAAGACTATATCAGGTTTAAAATTATTTTCGGCTTCGTTTTCCCTCCAGCTATTATATTTCTTTGGTTTAACACTTACAAATGCTATTTCTTTAAAAGTTTTGCCCTTTTTTGGCTCAAAAGTTAAATAAGTTAAATAAATGTTTTTTTGATTATAACAAACTGGTTTTAGAAATTTTTTTAATGAGGAAACTAGATTTCTTAACTTTACTGGTTGGTTATATTTAAAACGTAACTTAAATATGTATATTAAAACGTAAATTAAATACCTTCAGGGCCAGTGCGAGTAGGTGTCACGTGGGGGGGGGGGGGTGCCATTACAACTTTTGCCGACAAAAAAAAAGTCCTTATTTTTAAAAATTTGCCGACTGCAATGCCAACATTTGCCGACTAACTGTCTAAATTTACCGACTTATCTAATTTGACAGGGTCAAATTTGCTGAATAAGGGTCAATTTTGCCGACTAAAAATCATTGATGAAGGGTCACCCCCACCTCACACACACACACACACACACACACACACACACCTATCCCGCCGGCCTTGATTACCTTTGATAATAAGAATTTTTTTTTTTATTACAACAAACTGGTAATAGAAATTTAAAAAACAAGAAAACTAGATTCACTTCTTGTTTGACTTTAAAACATAAAAGCAAATTTAAATGTATCAATGAACCGCTGTCATAATAACATTTTATGACTATGCGTGAAAAAATAATTATTGGTATTTTTCGTTGCCACGATAGCGTGCAATCGCTTGCGATCTTTTGTAATTATTTTGTATTTAAACGACATTTGTTGTTGTTTTTGCTGAGACTAAATGTAACTTTATTTCGCTATGTGATTTATGTTTAAAGAAAGTTTATATAAATGTATGAAATTGAACTCGCAAGAAATTTAAAATTTACGATCTTGTGTTTACTATTTTTAAAACCTTTTCTATTTTTAAAACATTTCTTTTGATGACGCAATTAATTAGATGATGGTGTAAGGATTCGTCCATATTGGACGTCAAACAGAATTTAAATAATAATTAGAAATAAAAGATCATTAGCCTTCTTCCGCCGAAATTTTTTTGAAAATTAAATCATAAGTCGCTATATTACTTTAAAAATCGTCCTTTAATGCCCACCAATGAAAAAATATATATATTCAAAAGAATACTCTTAACATGAAAGCGGCAACAATATATTAAGATTAAAAGTAAATCAAATATATTATTCTTAATAATAGTTAATTAATACACACTTATTTTTTTACACACTTTTATTATATATATACACATATATATTTATTATATATATATATACACATATATATTTATTATATATCTACACATATATATTTATTATATATATACATATATATTTTATTATATATATGCACATATATATATATATATATATATATATATATATATATATATATATATATATATATATATAATTATACATAAATGTATATATATATATAATTAATACACACTTATTTTTTAATGATATAAAAATATATAATTCTTAATTTATCTTTGGAAATCGTAGCTTAATTTGCCTTATGTGTAATTCGTAAAACCACCTTTAATTTTGTGTTGATTTTATTATTATCAATAAATATTACAGACGGTATTTTATTTTATTTTTGGCGCAATTAATGTATGCAGAGCTAACGTGGAGTAGAAGAAGAAAGAATATAAGAAAAGGACCCCACATTCCTGGTACACATTTTCATCTCAGGGGAGGGACTATATTTGGGAAATTTTTTGACAAATTCCCACTTTCGTCAAAACGCTGTATCAAATTTATTCCTTTTTAAAACCCTGTGCGTGTGTGTGTGTGTGTCTATATATATATATATATATATATATATATATATATATATATATATATATATATATATATATATATATATATATATATATATATATATATATATATATATATATATAATAAACTATATAAAAATTTTTAATTATGTCAATTTTTTTAATATTAAAATAAAAATGTCACAATTACTTTAAAATGATATTTGTTTAGATTTTAAAACCCGCTGATAAAAAGAAATTTCCATATGGTGGTTTTGGTGCTGGCCGTCCGATAACTCCACCGCGGGGTGGCGCTGCAACTGCCGCTGCTACTGGAGCAGGAAACACGCCTAAAGGAAAAACAAAAAAAGTTGATAAATAAACATTATTTTTTTGTATGTATATACTTGTTTGTATATATGCGTGTGTATATACCTAAAACATTCGACTTGCAGGTCGCATGCCATATACCCGATTATTCAATAAACAAATAAGGAACGTATATATTCTATAATATTCGTATACTCTGTCATATATGTTATATAGGTCATATGTCATTTCGTAACTTCCTTCATTTTTATATTTAATTTCTGAATTGACAATTTTGATTCTGTAATCATTTTTTTGAATTGAGAAAGTACGTTTTTAAGGGCATTATTGCATGCTGTATATTGCATAATTATTTTTAATTTGTTTGCTTATATTATTTACATAGCTATGTTTTTAATTAGGGAGTGTAAAAAAATTTTAAATTTAGTGTCTAAAAGTATACATATCACCAGTATTAAAAGCTTATTAGTTTTTGTTTTTGCGTTGATATTTCATTTGCAATAGCAGTGAGTGTATATATTTTACGATGCAAACCATAGCCGATTATATGGCTGCATTTTGATGCGTTCGTATAGTAGCATTATTTTGATTAGACAGGGTTTAATTTATTGTTCTATTTTTTTGTGATGCAACCTTGATATTTATCTGAAAACACAATGCATACAATAAATTATACCGCTACACAGTGGAACTTTTATTTATATAGTATTTATATAGTTTTATTTATATATTAAACTATTATCATCTCAATAGCTGCACAAAGCTTTTTTTTTTTTTTTTTTTTTTCCGAAAATATTTAGCAAAAATATATAATTATATAGCAAAGTATGTACTATTAAAGTTTCACATAATTTTTATCTGTAGTTTCAAACAAACTTAATTTTGTATCAGGCGTTTATAAACTATTTTCTTTCTACCTGTTCACAAAGGTTGTTTTTTTTTTTTTATTCAGAGAAATCGGAATAAAATAGAAAATAGTAGATTAAGGTGGTACTTGGGTGAAAAATCCAAATTCTTTAATTCTTACTATTTAAATTTGATATTTTGGTACAACAATTATATACAGGTAACTATATCTTTTTTTAAGAAAAAAAAGAAAAAAAATTACAGAAAACCCTTTTTTGGGTCCAAAGGTCTCAAAATGGTCACTTTGCGGTGCGTGAAATTCAGAAAAAACCACCTGTAGAATGATAACAAAATTTTTACAGTTTGTTTATAGTACAATTTTACAGGTATGGGAGCAGAATTAGCCTGATTACATAACTAGATCTAAGGTAATTAAAATTCAAATACCTTGCTTATAAAAAAGCTTAAAAATAAAACTTTGGGCTTGGGTAACTCTGGACCGAAAAATATTTTTTCAAAAAATGTTGGTTCTAAACCTGTATCTTATAAAAAATAACCACCATATAAAATTTCAAGAGTAAAGCTCAAATAAATCAAAAGTTATATGACGCACCGTTCAAAAAATTCAATTTTTAGATAAATGCAATTTAAGTAATAATATACTAAAATATCACTAAATTTCTTTCAAATATTCAAAAACAAAAAGATTTTCATGATTGATGACCGTAAATAAAAAATAATAAAAATCTCTCTAATATAAACCATAACCATACTTCATTTCTTCTACATTTATTAGTATTTGTGAAACCTTTTATGAACTCTTTGAATATGCTTTTTTCGATTTCCTTTCCATTGACATTACTCTTTGGTTGTTATTTGAAACACAAAACTGTTTGCATAAAATCCTGGAATACCTATGCCCTTTAAAACTTTTAGAGTTCCAGTTGAACTATCATTAAAATTTATAACTGCAGAAGCGACACCTAGGTCAACAGTGGTTTTACAAACGTAGATATCTTTTTGAAACCGTTTCCAAATCATTCCATTTAGTGACTCATTTATTTATTAGTTATTTTGAGTTTTGCCATAAAGATATTTTTTTATAAATTGTCATCACTTAAACTTAAAAAAAAACAGGCTTTATTTCTTCAAGGACAACAATTGGTAATTCCTCCCTTATGTTTGCATGTTGCTATGCCATTTATTTTGTCAGCCTGATATTTACACCAACTATCAAGAGTATGTGGGCACATTTGATGCCTTCTATATTCTAATAATATATTTTGCTTAAGAGCAATGGAAAAGCACTGTTCTAATTACTTTTTTCATCCACAGAGTTTTTCTAAACTGGTATAACTTTTTCCAATTTCTCTCATATCAAAAACAAAACGAACATAAACCTCAAACAAGTCTACCACGACTGCTTTTGCATTTACATTCTTTACTTGAATGAAAGGTTGTACACTAACAACAACTTGAACATTGTAACAATAATGGTATAGACAAGCCTTGCTTTCTCAAGACGTTAAATGTTCGACTCATAGTCTTTTTGTCACATTCAGGGCATGTTACAACTAAATAAATAATTTCCATAAAAATGTCAATAGAAAAAAGTATAAAAATCGATAATATACAGTTGGGTTTGAAGAATTTACACAAGTAAACAAACTGGTGTCATTGGTGAATGAAGATGATGCAAACTTTATTGGTCTGGTTTCATTAGTGATTATAAAAGGTAATGTTGTATCTGATGATAAATATGACAGATTTATTTGAAGAAATAGGTAAGTTAGAAGGAGGAATCTCAATTGGTTCTTCTTGTGTTTTTTTTGTGTGTGTTGGTTACCTTTATATGTCCGTTTAGAAAATGCTTTTGAGTGGCCAGACTTTCCTTCTAACATAGCTCGACTCTTTTTTTAATATTAATTATTATTACAACTATAAAGAATAAAAAAACAATAATAACAAAAAAGTGTAACTAAGCCTAATTTTTTTTTCATTGTTGTTGTTTTTTAATAATGAACATCATAGTTAAATAACTTGAATAAAAAAGAAAATAATAACAAATAAAAAACCAATTAAGTTAACTATAACAAAGCTAAAAAAAAAAGATAAAAAACCATGTAACTAAATCAAATAAACGATGATTAAAAACATAAACAGATATTATTTCACTTGCAGCATTTCAACTTTTAAACAATTTAAATGCCATGTAACACATGTATTTAATTGGTGACTTTTTGCATGAAGTTTATATTTCTGTAAAACAATTTAATGACTTTAAAGCAAACCAACTATAGGTTTTTAAACATAATTTTACAGGCTTTCAAGAAATCAAAATTGGTTGCTATGGGCGTTGCTACGAAAGTTGAGTTTGGAGTTTAAGATTGCCTTTTTTAAAATGGAAAGTTAAGTATCATCTGAATTATTTTAAATGAAGCAAATTACTTAGGCGTTTTCTGCATAGCTTAGTTTACTTAAAAACATTCACTTTGAAATTTTCAATTTTTACTTTTTTTTCACCCAAGTACCACCTTAACTAATTGCCCTCTTTTTTGAGCTAGAGGCGGAAAACCTGTTGAAGTGTTTCCCAGAGTTTTGTTGCTCTATAAGAAGACCGTAAGGACTTATAGGATCACTTTAATAACTGCATTAAAAAAGTAACAATCATACCTAATTAAACAATCGGTTATGTTTTTCTTTAATTTTTTTTTCATTTTTTTACTTGAATCTTTTGATTTGCATAAATACTTTCATACAGGGCTGCTTCAAGCTCGGGACCCTGGGGTAAAATTTATTAGTAAAGCTCCACTTTACTACTTAATTTTACCCCAGGTTTTATTTTACTAGTAGTAAAGCTTTCCTATACAATCACATTGTAAATATGGTTGTAAAGACTTTGATATATAGCTAGTATTTAAGGCAGTCCCTAAACCATTGGGATCTGAGAATAAATTGTCCAGTTGTCAGAGTGGCTCATTTCTCTCAAATTGTTTTGCTCTATTGACATTTAAATGATATGATATTAAAAAATAGAAAGCGAAAATAATTTACTTTATTATTTATATGACAATTTATTTCAAAAAAATAAATTATTCCCATATTTCGCCTAAATCGACTTTTAGTCGACTTTTCTTTTAAAAATGTATTAGTCGATATTAGAAAAGTCGATATAGTCAACAGTCGATTTATTTAATAGTCGTAACTACACTACTTAAATTGTCATATCTAAAACATACAAATAACAAATCTGGATCCGCCTTTAATTACCAATGCAGAAAAGATATTTTACAAAGACCTTCCATTAATGAAAATTATTTCAAAAAATTGCGAAACCAAAATATGCAGCTACACCTTTAATTAATATTATCTGAAGCAAATTTAGGATCAGTAAATGCTGAGACCAACACATAAACAATTTTTAGCTTTCCTGTTTTACTAAAGTTAAAATACTATATTATTTTTCATTCCAATTTAAAAGAAAAATCTTTTCTTCAAACTTCCTCTAAAATCTAAACCTAGTCTCATAGGTCTTTCCATAATTGTGTTAGTGTCTGATAAAATATGAAAAGTAATTCTATAAAAATTGGTCGGAATATCACCAATAAGTTTCTTTTGAACTACACTTTTAACCAAATATTTAAACTTTGTAACTAAGCATCTCTTTAATGAATTTTTAAAATTTTTTCATGTTTTAATGTATTCATATTGAGTGTGTTAGCTTTTGAATTAAACATAAAAAACCATTTAAAAAATGGCTACCCTACGACCCACTGTGCCCTAGTCAGTCAAACAATCGAAAAACAATAGGGTAGAAAAACTAAATTATTTAGTGGTATATTTAACACACTTTTAGGCCGGTTGAACTATATGTTTCTAATATACTTTTTTATTTAGTTTTTTTTTATTTAAATTAAGTATATATATATATATATATATATATATATATATATATATATATATATATATATATATATATATATATATATATATATATATATATATATTAATAAATAATTCCAAAACTTCACTTTTCGCGCTTTTGTTTTTGCAAATGTAGAAACGAGTTCCATCAGTTCAATGTTTCTAGCAATATCATGTTTACAGAGTAGCTAATCGAGCAAGTCTTTCTTGCTGCATAGACGTTCTTAAAACTGTTTTTATCAGTTTGAGTTTTGAGAAGGTTCGCTTACCGCTAGCCACTGAAACTGGAAGCGTCATAAGGATTCTTAAAACTATAACAGTGTTGGGGGAACAATCTGTTCGATTATTTTTTAATATAAATGAGTAAT